TTTCCCCATTAGAGACTGCAAGTTGAAAAAAAAATTTTTTTTTTGGAAATTTTGCATATTCTCATAATTTATGTACTCCTGTTGAAGGGCACACGGCCGAAAGCTTGAGATTACAATAATAAAATGAAACTCCAGAAACCTGTTGTATTATTTCAATTTAATATTCTCATAATTTCTATATTTGCATATGTGTGCAATTAATACGAAAACCAAAACAAATTTTAAAATGAATATTTGAATTCTATTTTGAGAGAGACTATAAAAAAGAAGTTTTTTCTCACATCAATAATAATTTCTTCACAATATTTAAAGATTATTCTCATCTTTAACAAAAACAAAAAAATTCCAACCCTGTGGTCAAAAAAAAATTTTTTTTTTCAAGGTGGGGGAAGGAATAATCTGTGAGGCAGGGTTGCCAGATGGAGGATACTTACACAGAACTACACAGACTTACTCCCAACGAGAGGGCTCGCTGCTGCAAACATTCAGGCTTTTATTCACACACTTGTCCGCAGGAAAACAAAGAATTCAGAGAAAATATTACCTCATTTTTTTTCCTTGTTTTTTTAAAAAATCAAAATGGCACAATTTGGATCTCATGTCAGAACCATAAGTATGAAAACTAAGTAGCAGCATTGTTAGTGGACGTAGCATCTCAGATCATGGTATTGCACAATGCTGTCTCACAGAAATTATAAACACAAATTATTTATTTGGTATTTGTCTTGTCAGTTTATTTAAATATATATGTGTGACCTTTTAGTCTTATACAGATTCTCTAAGTAGAAATGTAGGGTACATACAGGGAAAACACAGCAATAATAGGAAAAAGCATTATTATAACTCCGCCTTTGCCGGTCCCAAGCCCGGATGAAAAAGGAGGAGGGAGAGCAGTAACAAGCTCACTAAAAAACCTGGGTTCAGCTGGCCCGGCTGATAGTACCCTGTAAGGTCTCCTAATCCAGGAATACAGGATGAGCAGCGTTTGTACTCTATGTTAGGAGCAGCTGCACATGGCATCTGTTCCTCATGTCAGAGGCGGCCATTTCTTTTGGAGCTAAGTCGACCTGCCACTGAGTAGTGTTCCCAGTCTTAATGACAAAGGCAGACACATTCTACTTCACCCAGTCATGATGGTTGTCAAGTCTCAAGCTTTACAAGCTTGATACCCTAATATGTTTGAGTGGAGATAAGAAAGAAGAAGCTAAGGCCTCAATATCCGGGGAATCAAATATTTTCAGACAGAGTCCAACAGCAGACCTGCCCAATTTCCCCAACTATAAATAATAATATTATTATTTGATTCTTAAACAAACCAAATGACCTGTCTTTAGAGAATGGAAGGAAAATTGAAATAAATTCAACTCGCAGAATTTATCCAAGTGCTTGTGAATAAACAATATTTTTTGTTTTTCCATCAAGGGCATACATGGAATAAATCAGAAGGTTTTGCGAAGTGTGAGCTGGCCACATAGAGTTGTCCACGGATTCATCTACCCCACACACTTGATGGTCATTGCAAAAGCAATTTGCATAGGAAACTGCCAACGTATGAATTCAAATGGTATTTCTGTTCTAGTCAGTGGAACATGTGGCAACATCTTCCAGCTTGAATTTCCCATTTAGAATTATAACTTCAGTTTGACATTGTTAATCACATTTTACATATTTAAACAACAACTCCACAAAAAGTTTCTTTTCAAATTTATTATAATTGGCAAGTTTTCGAGTTCAAGAACTCTTCACACAACGGACGTTTCATATAAATACATACATTTACATTTTCAAAATACTAAACTATTATAGACGTGTATGATTCTTTTTAAAATTAAATAATTTCTACTGCCCTTACTGCAATGGAAAAATTAATGAGAGGGCCTGGCTCATCAGTGGTGAACCCTCCCAGCGGTTTCGCCAGTTTAGCCAAGAGATCAACACCACAGAGGTCCGTACGTCTCTTGACCTCACGGACAAAACAGCAGCTACATTATGCACAACCCTCAATCTTTTGTCTTCTCTTCTCTCACCCAGAAAATTCACAGTATACCTTAACTCTAAATCTAGCAAGGAATATACTATATCTCCATTCTGTCACCTTGGAAGCCCTGAACTGGCTGAAGGACTTGCCTCTCAGACTTTAATGACCGATATGTCCTCACTTCTTTTTTCTAGATTTAATTCATTTTGTCTCCTCTCTAATTGTAAATACGCTGCTGTATCACCTCATAAGCATAAATAAATAAACCGCTGGGAGGGTTTACCACTGATGAGCCAGGCCCTCTCATTAATTTTTCCATTGTAGTAAGGGCAGTAGAAATTGTTTAATTTTAAAAAGAATCATACGCGTCTATAATAGTTTAGTATTTTGATAACAGATGGTGCGCTAATGCATCGTAACATTTAAATTTTAATTAAATATTTGTACACACTCCTCCGCCCCTTACACTTATTTTAAATGTATGTATATACAGTAGAACCTCCATGAGAGGACACTCACGCTAGAAGACACCTCTCGACAAAGGACAGTTTTCATTTGTAAAATTATAATTTTTACTATTTAGCAACTCTCTGGTAAGAGGACACCTCTCCCTAAAGGACACTTTGGCTCTGTAACTAGGTGTTGTCCTGTACAGGGAGGTAGTTCTACTGTATTATAAAAACCTGACAAAGTCGGATTATCTATAAATTATTTACCTCATGGAATGGAAATATCACAGAGAGTTAACAAGATTTGAAATTAATTAAAACCATTTATTGTATTAGGCCTTCAAATTTTGACTGAACACACAGCACATTTTGGAACACAGTGTAGCAAACATATTTCTTGCTATTGGACTTTGAAATAAGGGATGGTTATCATGTTGGTGCTTCTTTGAAAGTCTGCAGCGTGTTAGAGATGTTGATGGAATGTCTGGATGTTTCCAGTCACTTCTCTAATACAGTAGAACAACCTCCATGACATGAACAACATTCCTGCTAGAAGACACCTCTCTACAAAGGAGTTTCCATTTGTTCTACTGTATTTGGGCGAAATATACCTATTGAAGATATCTTAGACTTGAAAGCTTTTTTGTTAATTATAATAAATTTGAAAAAAAAAAACTTTTCTGGAGTAGTCGAAAAATTAGGTAAAATATTTTTCTGCAATTTCCAACAAGAAGGAATATAATGAAGCCAATGATATTCATATTGAATTGTTCTTCATCTTTTTTTTTTTTTAAAAAGCCTTTCACTGTTACAAAGTCGCAGCGGATTGATGTTTCCTGAGAAGTATAATAGGCACACCCAGGTTAAAATGTGCTGTGACATTTCTTGCATAATTTCAAGATTTCAGACTTCGTCTTGATTCAAAACAGTTACAAATGAAGAAATATTTAATGTTATTTACAGTAAAATCTTGCTATAGTGAACCTCCATGGGACAGACTCTTGGTTGGCTAGAGCCAAGTATTCACTATAGCCATGGTTCACTCTATGGCACCACTGATAAAGTACAATTTGTTTTATAGATACACAAGAAAATTATTATTTGGATTAGGTCTTATTTTCTTGTATCTATGCACCACATATATTGAGGAGCTAAGTCAGTGGCCGGCTACTTGGTAGTGCTCCCAGTCTTAATGACATTCTACTTCACCCAATCATTATGGATGCTTCATGGTGGTTGTCAAACAGACACCATCAAGGGTTACAACTTGATACCTTAATATGATTGAGTGGAGATGAAGAAGAAGATTATGGATGCCAAATCTTCTTTGATAAGCACTACTCAGCATCCCCAGCAGACACCATAAAAAGCTCTACATGCTTGATACCCTGATAGGATTGTTGAATGGAGATAAGAAAGAAGAAGAAGACTAAAATATTGGGGTTTGTTTTAGGAATGTTATACGGAAGGGTTCGTTATATCCCCGGTATAATCAAAGACAAATTCTTCTGATCCTTCCCAAAGGAGATTTGCATGACTTTCTCTTCTACAAGTGTGTTAATAACATATATACATATGTCCCTCAACTTCATGTTATATATATATCCTGCAACTTTAACATCATGTAAAAAAATTATTTTATTTTTTAATTACATTCTCTAGAACAAACTTTGTAAATTCAAGTATGGCTTTACACCATATAAATCCATCATTGTGTGTTGTTTTACTTTGGCCGGCACCAATCTTTTTGTAAATATGTATTTTATTATGTAAATATGTATTCAAGTGCTCAATAAAGCAAATTATTATTTAAAGTTGTTTTATTATATTTTTCCCAAGATGTAACGACTGCATACCATTGAGTACTCTTGTATTAAAAAACACAAGCAATTTATATCTCAAAATTATATATAAATAGTAGTCGGTGGACGAGTGGGTAACCCCCTCGATTCCCGACAGTCATGAACCGGGATTGAATCCCGCGTTTAAATTTTGTTTAATATGTGAATAACCTTCACATATTATTCATTGTTCAATTATCAAGAACTAGGTTGCTCTTGCTGAGCGGTACCTATTTATGTGATTTGAACCAGGAGGAAAATTATATATATATATTCACTCATGGACAAAACATAAGGAAGTTGTACCATGTATATTGGGACAATAACTGTAAGATATTACAGTGAACTTTATTGAAGACACACGAGATAACCAAATGTGAACAACCTCTGTCTCCTTCAAAAAAAATATACGATCGGTGACATCAAAGATTTTCCACTTGCCCAAGTTTTGTCCATTAGTGTATATATGAAGGTTGTCTCTCCCATCAAAATAGATAATGAAACTAGGCACCATTTATTAACCATTCCTACAAACTAGCAAACTCAGGACATCTATTTTGACTGGGGAGGTGACCTTTATTTTTCTATATCAATATCCTTCGGGTAAAATTTCCATCTATGCAGCATTGTTTTAATGTTGACTCTTATGCATTTTATTTTTCTTTGAGAAATTAGAATTTTTGGAAACAAATAGAATGAATTGTGAAGAGTAATAATAAACGGAAGAATATGTCCAGGGTAGCCTAGTGGACATGGCATCCTGCCTGGTAAGCGGAACACTGTGGGTTCGATTCCCATCCCTGGACGCTTTTATTTTTCCGTTTATCATTACTCTTCACAATTCATCCTTTCATACTTCATCCCTAAGGTTAGAAATAATCGTTATTTCTCCTTAAAAATAAATTTCAATTTTTCGTTTAAAAGAAACACAGGCGGGATAATTTTCAAATGTCGATTTACAAATAGAATGTGCTTTTGTTGGAGAGTAACTTCGCACATCGGCTGTTGCAACGCCACCTTTCCTACCACGGACATCACGTGACCTGGCGCCACACTGATTGTAGTTTAGGTTTTGGTTTCTGTTACTACGCTTGCCTCTTTGTCATCTTAATCTAATGTTATTGTTAATTAAACAATCATTTCTGAGATCAAGCCTCTGATTCTCTTACAGTTTTTAATAACTTTCGTTAATGGGTTCCATTTACTTTTAAACTCCGCCTTTGCTGGTCCCAAGCCTGGATGAAAAAAGGAGGAGGGGGAGCAGTAACAAGCTCACTAAAAAACCTGGGCTCATCTGGCCTGGCTGATAGTACCCTGTAAGGGCTCCTAATCCAGGGATACAGGATAAGCAGCGTTTGTACTCCATGTTAGGAGCGGCTGCACATGGCGTCTGTTCCTCATGTCAGAGGCGGCTGCACATGGCGTCTGTTCCTCATGTCAGAGGCGGCCATTTATTTTGGAGCTAAGTCAGCCTGAGTAGTGCTCTCAGTCTTAACCCTTAACTGGACGGGTTGGGTAGATTCCGCCCATGCATAAACTTAATATAGGAAAAAAAAATATTTTTCGTTTACTGAGAGCTAACAGCTTTGGTGTATTCTAATTTTACAGTGATACAAACAATTTCCATTCATCGTTTAAAAATATAAGTTTTGGGAGGGCGGTTAAATTTGCATGTGTGGGCGGATTCCGCCCATGCCGTCCAGAAGCGTGAGAATTTTTCATGTTAGGGTTATAGCTGATTGCTCATTCTCGAGTCGCTTTCTTCCGCTATTTTTTAGCTTCCATTCATAAAATAAGACTTCTTTCTTTGGCTAAGTAGAATTTATTCTTTTAGATTAAAAAAAAACAACTTCCTTAATTTTTTTTTATCAAGGTAAGACTTTTTATTTTTGAAATTCTATTTATAATGGAAGACGAAATTTTGAATAAGAATTTTGACGATGATTCTGAAACTGAAAATTATTCATTGAACGAATCTTCAGATGTCAGTACAGATGAGGAATGTGATTCAATTCTTACCACTGTTCAAATGTCTTCAAGTAATTGTTTCATTGGGAAAAATGGCTATAAGTGGAACAAGAATCATGCAATAATTGGAAGAACCCGTTCTCATAACATAATTACACACTTACCTGGTCTGAAAGGCCCTGCTAAACCGAAGCCAAATTGTAGCATAGATATATTCAACTTATTTTTTACTGCCGCAATTATAAAACAAATATCTGAATTTACAAATGCAAAAATTGAAGAATTTCGCCAAAGAATTTCAGATTTGACCAAAAGTACTTACTCAAATTTTACAAGTGAAATAGAAATAAGAGCATTCTTAGGTTTGTTGTATCTAGCTGGAGTTTACAAATCAGGTCATGAAAATGTAGAATCTTTGTTTGCCTCTGATGGAACAGGCCGTGACATTTTTCGCTCTGTAATGAGTGTGAAGCGTTTCCTTTTTCTATTACTTTGTATTAGATTTGATAATTTCAAGACAAGATGCAAAGTAGATAGACTCTCACCCATAAGAGATATTTTCCAAACCATTATTGAAAAATTTCAAAGTTGTTATACACCTGCTGAATACCTTACTGTTGACGAAATGCTTGTAGGGTTTCGGGGAAAATGTCCATTCAAAATTTATATACCCTCAAAACCTAATAAATATGGGATAAAAATAGTGATACTAGCAGACTCAAGAACACATTATATGTATAATGCAATGGTATATACAGGAAAATCTAAAACTCCAAAGTCAAAAGAACTATCCCTGCCAACACAAATAGTTTTAGATATTAGTCGACCACTTTGGAAGAGTAATAGAAATATTACAGCAGACAACTGGTTTACTTCAATAGAATTAGTTGATAAGTTGAAAGAACATGGCCTTACATATTTAGGAACGATGAGAAAGAACAAACCTCAGATTCCACCACAATTCCAACCGCATCCTAAAAGAGAATCAGGAACATCTATTTTTGGTTTCTCTGGGACAAAAACTTTAGTCTTCTATGTTCCCAAAAAAAGAAAATCAGTAATCCTTATATCTTCGATGCATCATGACAATAAATGTGATAAAACAACAGGAAAACCTGACATTATAATGGATTATAATCTAACAAAAGGAAGTGTAGATACCATTGACCAAATGGTCTCTAATTTTTCTACCTCTTGTCGATCCAGAAGATGGCCTTTGGCACTTTTTTATGCCCTTTTAGATATCACAGCTCTGAATTCTTACATCATCTTCAACTATCAGATTGATAAAAAGGATCAAAAAGAAAGAAGTACCTTTATTGTTGATCTTGGGAGATCCTTGATTGATGAACACCTGGCCACACGTAATCTAAATTCCCTCCCGCTGGAATTACAGACGACAATAAAAAAATTCAAAAATAATGATGGTTCAAGTACATCAAGAGGATCTACGATGCCACAAGAATCTGATACTCCAAAAAGGTGCTACAAATGTCCATCAAAAAATGCGGGAAAAGTGAAAACCTTATGCTCTGTATGTCAACTAAGCGTCTGTAAAAAACATTTCTTAATTATTTGTGAAAACTGTAAATAGATTATATTTAGAATTTTTAGAAGTCAAAATCTGTATATTAACATTTGTAATCATTAAATAATCTTTCAAATATTGATTTAATTCATTATTTAGCGCTTATTTCGTAAAGGTACATAAGTGGGTTGAATCTACCCACCCCGTCCAGTTACGTAAGAAAAAATCACCCGTCCAGTTAAGGGTTAATGACAAAGGCAGACGCATTCTACTTCACCCAGTCATGATGGTTGTCAAATTCTCATTCTTTACTGGCTTGATAACCCAATATGATTGATTGGAGATAAGAAAGAAGAAGAAGATTTACAATTTATGTAAAGTAGGTTCAGTGATCTAGTTTCTTTCCTTTCTTTATCCCTAACCCTGATTGTCTGGCTTGTTATTTAGAATGCCATCATGGCGGGCATTTCTTAGCTTCTAAATGTTATAGTTTGGTTTCAACATGTAAGAGTTATAATAGACTTGAAATCTTAACAATACACTATGCTATATTGGTCAGGAAATTTGGAGGAACCAGTGATAGACTGCTGAGTATATCAATATGTTAGGTTCAGATATGTTAAATTGGCTTAGGCTTAATGCTTAGGCTTAAATTGTCTAAATAAGCTTATTTTTAAAATGTAATTATTCATGTTTACCATGATTAGAGCTCTAGGTAGAATAATACAAAAGATGAAATACACTCATGGATTAAATTTAAGAAAGAGGAAAGTCTTTGATGTCACCGGTCATCTATTTTTTTGAAGACCGAGGCAATTTTGTTCAGACTTGGTTATCACATGTCTTTAATAAAGATTACTGTGTATTAAATATCTTTCAAAGTTATTGTCTGAATCCAGATATACATGCTGAAAGGTACAACTTCCTTAAGTTTTGTCCATGAGTGTATTTTCACGGTCAGCAGAATTGAGTATCTCACTGAAATTTGGTCCATTTAGTCTATCTGTATGTATGTAAATTGCTTTTGGTTCTTACTACATATATACCATCAGACAAGGATATTTTGCATATTTCAGTAATAAATAATGAAGGTACACTTTCAGATATATCAAGGAAAATAAATGGTTGTAATTAATAAGTATGGTCAAACTTACCTTCTGCGGGTGATGATTCCTTTTTAATTTGTTTTACCGATTTAACTTCTGGTTCCTCTTTTGCTCTCTTGTTTGGCCTTTCTATTTCAGGTTCATCTAAAGGTCTTTTGTGTGATTTTATTCTTTCTCGCTCTTTCTCCCTTTCCCTGTCTTTATCCCTATCAATTCTATCTTTTTCCCGCTTCTTGTCTCTATCCTTTTCCCTTTCATACCTTTCAACATCTTTTTCAAAACGATCTTTTTCCCTTTCCCTATCATGGTGACGACTTGATTTATGTGAATGTTTTTTGTAATCGCGATCGCGTGATTTTGATCTAGATCGTTTTCTATGCTTTTTCTTATCCTTGTGTTTTTTGTGCTCTTTGCTTGAACCCATTATATAGACAAATTGTCGGAATTTTCAATTTCAAATATAAATATAAATAAATATAACAAATAATTTAAAAACAACAAGAGAAATGTTTAATAGTTCCTTTTGGGTACACTGTTTTAAATATTCTGTGATATAAATAAAATATTAATAAAATATCACAGAATGGAATATAGACTTTGCAATTTTAAGACAATTTTTTCTTCACTTTAATGATAACATTTTACACTTTAATAACAATATTTCAGTTTTAAGGAATATATTTCGTTTTTATTTCAAATTTTAAAAGTAATATGTGTGTTTTCTTTTGAAATTTTTAATTCGAATACTTTTATTTCAAATGAAATTAGTTTACTCAGTAGAGTGTTTTTGCTAAGGTCATTTTTATTTATTTTTTATTATTTTTGATTTTAATGAGGTATATTTAATTTTTCTGCTATATTAAAGATTTTGGACTGATAAGAAGCATATTTTAAAGTTTAATAAGAACATTTAATGTGATAATAAGGGCATTTTATGCGACAGAAGTAGATTCCCCCGATAATAACATATGCACTTACAGTTTGATGCAAATATTTTACACGCACAGACAAAATAGAATAAACAAATTCGAGAAATTACTTTTAAACAAGTATAGAAGCACCATTCAACCTTTCAAACAAGATATTGAAGGAGGACTTAAATCAACCCAATCTAGAAAAGCTGTAGCAAATTTCCGTTAATAAATTATACCTTCAAATACAAAATGCATTCAATCCAGCACCTGTAAACTGTGACGAAATAAAA